TGTCATTTCCTGCAGGGCTGAGGCTGCCCTGTGCTCTTGGGAACAGCTACCAGACGGTCTTGCCGAGTGCACACAGAAGGCATGGACGTGTCAGGAGCACAGGGACTAACGGAGATCCATCAATTCGTTCGTATATTGACCAAAACGCTATCTGCAGACACTCCCCCCTACCGCACTCAGCCTGTGTTCTCCGAAGTGACCACAGTTCAAAACACTCCAGGATCTAAGCCTTTTCAAAACTGGAGGCAGGCCTCCCACCTGGTCGGCATTGGGGAGGCCGAGAACCCCCGGCAGTGCCCACATCCAGGCCACCGGGGCCTCTGTAGAGGCCACATCTCTGCAGAGATTGGCTTGCAGCGATTTCTAATAAATGAGGTTTTCCCTGCTGTGACCTGCGGATGATCAGGAGCTTCCTGCTAACCCACGAGTGTTCCCGTCCTCTTGCAGACACAGAACGTACACAGTGACTGACTCCACCGTGTACCTAGGCAGAGTCATTTACAATATTTTATCACTCCCCGGCGATGTGGGGCGGCTCATGCTTGTAATCCCAGCAGTTTGGGAGGCTGAGACGGGCAGATCACAAGGTCAGGAGTTCAAGACCAGCCTGGCCAGTGGGACAAAACCCCATCTCTACTGAAAAATACAAAAATTACCAGGGTGTGGTGGTGCACACCTGTATTCCCAGCTACTCTGGAGGCTGAGGCAGGAGAATCCCTTGACCCAGGACACAGAGGTGGCAGTGAGCTGAGATCTCACCACTGCACTCCAGCCTGGGCAGCACAGTGAGAGGCCATCTACAAAAATAAAAAATAAAATGAACTATTTTATCACTCCAGAGTAGTTTCGCTTTAAATTATTTGGTGAAGGACAGAAATCCTGCCAGGAGACCCAAGACCTCCTGCCAGGCCGAGGGAAGCCCGAGGAGCCACAAAAATCAGGTTTTCCTGGACGTCGCCACTCTCTGTGGCTTTTTCACCTTTCGGGAAATTTCCGTAAAATTTCCTACACAGGAGCTGTGGGAAGAAGGGGAATGTGGCCTTTCAAACACTCGAGTCTCTTTCTCTGCATAAAATGCTCCATCAGCAAAGACCGGACCCTGGTCCGGCCCGGGTCCCCCTCTGTGCTGGGTACGACCTAAAGCAGCCCTACCAAGAAGAGAGCGGCCAAACCCACCCCCGTGCCTGGCACTGCCCACCCCAGCCGGCCTTCCCAGGGCTCGCACCTGCCTCGGAGCTGAAGGGGTGGGAGGGGCCGGGCCGCCTGTGCCCAGCAACACCTGAGTTATCCAGGGCTGTGTGGGGGAATCGCCTGGGCCCCGACAGCGGGCGGCCTGAACTAGACCCTCCAGCCCTGGGACCCCCTGCAGTGAAATGAGAGACAGCAACTGTCCAAGTAGCCCAGGGCCACAGGCCCCTGACACCCAGATCCCATCTGAGGCCTGGTCCGAGAGCCAAGACAGCAGAGCAAGCCCCACGGACAGGCTCCGGGGTCAGAGGGCCCCTCCGGCCTATTCCAAACACACTTTCACCCTGGCCACGCAACGTGGCTTGGCTGCTGGCAAGATCAAGCAATCTCCACCCCCAAGCTCTCCTCTCAGCCGGGACCGCCCCCTCTCAGTTAAGCAGGACGACTCTGGAGCTTCCTCAACCTTCTGCAGCCTCGGTTTCCCCAACCATAGAGATGGGGCTGCGTGACCCTCTGGCGGGCTCGACCTGAGCAGTCACTGAGGCCGGCACCCAGCAGGAGTGGAGCGGAGCTCCCTTTCGCACGCCCAGCGACCCATGCGGAGAGCCTGGACAAGCAGATTCAACTCCGTGATGGAGCAGTGCCTGGGGCCGGTCCCGGCTGTGAGCAGCTGGGCAGCAGGAGATAGAGGCTTGAGCCCGGGGCTCAGGCTCTGAAGGGACCCCACGGAGCTCCGGCCCAGGGTCCCCTGCGGCAGCCCCAGGGGCACATCATCTGCTGAGTCTGGGCCTCTTCTGCCAGTCACACTCCATTTGGGAGTGCCTGGGAGAGCTGGGCCAGCACCCACCCCACCAGGCGGAGAGCAGGTCCTAGATGCCCTTCTGGCTCAGGGAAGCCCTGTCTCCAGAGCCTCTAGGAAAGCTCCCAGGCAGCATGAGCAGAGGCCACAGCTCCGCACAGAGGAGCCGAGGTGGAGAAAGCCCCTCCCCAGCTCCGGGGCAGCGGGGCCTGGCCTGACGCCCACCAAGCCCTGGGGTCATGGGGCAGCAGCCACCGCCCTCTCCACCCCAGGCAGTGGCCACCCCGAGTCCAGCAGGGATGCCCAGAAAGGCTCTCACAACTTGACCACTACAAAGCCAGACACTGGTGGCAACAGGCAAAACGCAGGTGTGGCCCTGGGGACCTGTGTCCAGCCAAAGCTGAGCGAGCAGCCAGGGAGCCCGGCCATCCCCCACCCCCGGCCGCCCCAGGCCCAGCTCAGCTCCATATCCATTTAACTGATGAATAAACAGACAAATCATGGCCAACGCGTAACACAAGTCAGTCCACACCGGGCCGGCAAAGGACACCGGGCCAACAGGCCTCCCAAGTTGGGAGGTGCTGCACCCCAAGGATGCACTGGGCCACGGGGACAGCAGAGAACTCCATGGCAGGGGTGTGGCAGCCGGGCAGTGAGCTGCACCGGCAGTCCTGAGCCTGGACTGTCCCTTCCACAGAGGGCACCGGGCGGGCCTGGAAGAGGGGGACAACCCCAGCAGCCGGTCTTCACAGAACCCAGGGCGAGGAGCAGCTGTACCCACATTACCGACGGAAAACTGACATATGCAGAGGTTCTGCGGCCAGCCCCAAGTGTCCAACCTGAGGCAGGACCAAAGACCCTGCTCTCCGGCCCTGCCCCTCGGAAAATCCAGAGAGTGGGGCCACCTCCCTGAGTCCAAGCCACCCTGACCAGGGAGCTGGGGGCTCAGGGAGGTTCAGGGAGCCCCGTGCCCACAGCAAAGGAGCTGAGAGGCCTGGTGCAGGCAGGAGGGCGGGCTGCTCAGATGCTGAGGGTCTCCCCAGCATCCCCACATGCTGCTGCTCTACAGAGAGGCCGTCCTGACTGAGGGCCTTCGGGAGACGGCTCAGACCCCACGTGCAAGGGCTCCCCATGCTTTGCCCCAGTTCTGGACATGGCCACTCGCAGGAAACAGAAATAGGGAGGAACAGAGGGACAGAGGGGCTGGCCAATGCAGGCCAGGGCAGAGGTGGCCAGGCAGAGAGCTGCTGGCCTGACAGGAGCCTCAGGAGATGCTGCTGGCCAGGAACAGCCACACGCAGCCCAGGGGTCCTGGACTCAAAGCAGAACAAACTCCTGGCGGCACCACAGGTCAGACACACAGCGGGGCACCGAGGCCCAGGCCACCTGGGCAGGAGGGCTGTGGGCTGGGCTCTGTCCCATCCTCCTCACGGAAGTCACCTTGGGCTGGGACCTGACTGACCAGCACCAGTCCACCAAGAGCCCGATGGCCTCAGCCAGGTGGGGGCCGAAAGGAAAGGCCGTTCCGGGGACATGGGGGCTCATCCAGGACTCTGGGCATGAACTCGGGACTGGAAAGGCCAGACTCACATCCTGGGGGCAGCGGGGGCTGATGCGCTCTCGGGACCCAGGAGGTCCGAGAAGCCTCTGCCTGGGGGGTCCCAGGCCCACCTCGGAGGCTGCATGCCCAGGGGACCCCAGGAGAGACCCCCTGCGAGTGGCCTGGCTTTTCCTCTGGGACCATCCCCTACCCCAAAATCCTCCCAGATCACACTCCACGGAGGGTCTGGTGAGGACACACTCAAGGCCACACGGACGCTGGGGCACACTCGCGGGGCACACGCCCCACTCGGCCAGGTGGGTGCCCGGCCAGCGCAGCGCCACTCAGCTCCTCACTCCCATCCCAAAATGCCTCTCACACAAAATGGCCGGTCCCAGAGCTCCGCGGGCCCGCGTGGAGCTGGGATGCGAGAGCAGCTATCGCCCTGGCGCGGGGAGGCCGCGCGCGCACACGGAACACACGGAACACCCGTGTGCGCACAAGCGCAGGCTCGGCCGCCCCCCAGGAGCCCGGCCTGAGGCAGCCGTGCCCTGAGCCCCCCCGGGGAGCGGGGACAGCCCCTCCAGGGCCAGGGTTGGGGTCCCGGGTCTGCCGCAGCCCCTCCCCCGGCCTCGCCCCGCCAAGGACGGGGTCTTGAGCCCAGATGGGCACGGGGGTGGCCGGCGGCTGCAGATGGGTCAGAGCCGCGCTGCGTACGGAAGCTGCGGGGGCCGCGCGGGGCCCGGGAGGGGCGTTGGCGGCAGTGGGGCCCGACAGGCCGCTGCGCTCTGCCGGGGCTGGGGGGGGGGGTCATGTGAGGGCCCCTCCCCCACTTCAACTACCCAGAAGCTCCCCCCAGCCTGAGGGACAGAGGCTTGGGGGGATGGAGGAGGAGAGCCCAGACCCTCCCGCCGCCCCCGCGTGGTGGGGCGGCCCCAGCCCCGAGGGTCCCCGAGAGTCCCCGAGAGCCCGGACCCAGCGCCCGCCACCCTCCCTCCCCGCCGGTCCTTTGTTCAGCGCCGCGGCCGCGGGGAGGGGCCTCCCTGGTGAGGAGGGGGCTGGGGCGCCCGCACTTCTCCGTCCCGCGGGGGAGGGGCACGCGACCCGGCCCGAGCCCCCCACGCCGACCTGAACTGCCCCGACCCCGGAACCCCCTCCTGCCTGCGCGCTCCAAAACCGCTCTCCAAAATCTCTCCAGTCTCCTCCCGGCACTTCGGCGGGGGGCGCCGTCCCGGACCCGGACCCAGACCCCACGCGCAGGGACGCGCCGCGTGCGCTCCGACACACGCGCTGGGGGCGCAGCCGCTGCTGGGGGCGCCGAGAGGGGGACGGGGGGTAACGGGGGGGGACGTCGGGGGCGCCGAGGGGGGGCGCCTAGGGGGCGGCGGGGGGGAACATCGGGGGGGAGCAGGGGGGGACGTCGGGGGCGCCGAGGGGAGCCCGCCGCGCCCCGCGCCCCCGCCGGCCACTCACACGTAGGCGTGGTAGATGAATGCCCAGCCGCGCGGCCGCTCCAGCACGTTGTAGAGGAAATTCTGCAGCTTGCGGTAGAAAGCGTTGCGCTTGGGGGGCTTCCCGGCGCCCGCACCGCCCGCGCGGGGCTTGCTCAGGATGCTGCCGCGCTTGGGGGCCTCAGAGCCGGCGATCAGCAGCGCACCGTCCCGAGTGGAGTCGGGCGCGCCGGGGTCCAGCCCCACGAAGCCCACCTTCAGCTTCTTCTCCCCGCTCGGGCCGGGGTACACGCCGCCGTTGCGCGACTTCTGCACCATGGTGCCGGGCGGCGCCGCGGCCGGGCGCGGGCTCAGCGGGGGCGGCGCGCGGGGGGCGGCGGGGGCCCCAGCCCAGGCCCCCGGGCCTGGAGCCGCATGGCCGAGGTGGTGGCGGCGCTCCTGCCGGGCTCGGGCCGCGCGCGGAGACGCTGCGGCCACCTCGCTCCGCGCGCACCTCGGCGCCTGGCCCGCGGCCGCGCGGCTCCGCCCGCCGCCTCGCCCCGCCCCGCGTTAACCCCCGCGATGCCACGGGGGCGGAGAGGGGGGCGGAGAGGGGAGCGGAGGGTGGGGGCGGGGAGGGGAGCCGAGGGTAGGGGCGGAGAGAGGAGGGGAGGAGAGAGGAAGCGGGGAAGGGGTAGGCCCGCCCTCCCCCGCCGCAACGCCGCCGGTGGGGGAAGCGGGTGGGAGGGGGACCGCAGGACCAGAACCTCTGGGCTGAGCCTGCCCACCTCGCACCCCGGCCGTGTGCACACTGACCCCACGGTTACCTTTGAGTCCCACAAGACCAACCAAGCGGACCTTCCTGGTGGCCCCAGTGCTCTCTGGGGTCCCAGTGGGGTCCAGGACTGGAGTCTTCTCAGCTGGGCCCTGGGAGTGGACGCCTCCGGAAAGGGGTAGGAGTACGGGACCTCCCCAAGCCTCTGTTAGGGTTCAGCCCACGAGGACCTCATGCTCTTGGCTCAGGGTTGCTCAGGAAGTGGGATCCCCAAGAACCCAGGGTGTGGGCAAGGAGGGTCTGCGGGGGCTGGAGGTGCCTGGAAGGAAAGCAGCCCGGGCAAAGGGGGCATCCACAGAGGCCCCAAGGCAAGAAGAGGAGCAAGGGCCGTGGGGAGTGCGATGGAGGAGAGTCACCCCTAAAGGGACTTGAAGCCCCCCAAGGGGCCTAGACTTTGTTCTGCAGACCCCAGAAGGGGCTTGCAGCAGGGGCAGGACAAAGAAGTCAGATCTGTCTCCCCACAGATGGGACGGTGTTTCCTTTGAGGCAAGTGGGCGGAGGTGGTCTCCCCAAGGCCGGGAGCCCTGTGTCCTGGGAGGGGTCCCTCTGGAGCTGCTGCTGGGAGATGAAGGGGCCCCCGAGGCTCCGTGCTGTCTGTCCCCCGGGTGCCCCACCACTGGGCCTTCCTCTGCACACCCAGGAGCCCAATCCGTTCGCAGGTTCGCCTGGCACCATGAATTCTACCCAGAGAAAGTCCCTCTGCTGACTGGCTGGCACTGTCCTCGCAGGTGACTTGCTCATAACCCACACTAACCCTGGCGCAGGGCCAGCCTTTGGGTGGTGTTTGCCCTTTGGTCTCCAGAGCTGTGACCGTGGGGCCTGTGTTGTTGTTGTGACTTGGCTGAAAACATAAGGGCCGATGCAGGCCAAGGGACAACCTGTAAATCATCCAGGACGCTGGGGGTCAGCGGCAGCTTACGCAAGCTTGTGCACACGCCACACACACACACACATCCAGGGCCCGCTGCAGACCCCGCCTCCCTGCCTCCCTGCCCACGAGTTGGCTGTGATTACCAGCTTGAAGTGGGCTTGCCCCAAGTGGCTGCGGTTTCTCTCCATTGTGAAGGGAGGAGGCAGCAGCCTGTTCCGTTCGGGGAGGGAGAGGACTTCAGCGTGCAGAAGGAAGAAGGTACCTTGGCATCTCCGTGCACACACTGGCCGGTGCCGCTGGTCTTTCCCACTCACCAGAAGATCCAACGGAGCAGCCGTAGGTCAAAATGTAACACGGCAGGGCTGGGGCACCTCACCCTGTGGGTGGAAGCCCCAGACCACCAGGTGCCCCGCGGCAGCGCCTGGACTGCACACGGCCCCTCCTGAGGAAGCAGGCATTTCAGGTTTGAGTCAGAGCCAAGCAGGACCCAAGATTAGGGCTGATCCACAGAGGCTGAAGGAAGAGCAATCCCCGGTTCCCGTTTCAGCAGATGCCCCAGAACCGCGACTCTAGCAAGGATGAAGGCTCTCTGCTGTTCCAGGATACTGGGGGAGAAAAACCTGCTCATCTCATTTTTCAGAAGAAAAAAGGGGAACACCCTGCTGAGGCCTCGGGGAGCCGTCGGCTGCCTTCACAGCCTCCTGAGGGTGGCTGAGAGCCCCCGTAGATGCCAGGCTGGAGGGGCCGGCTGGGGATGCAGGTGGAGCTGTGCACCCAGCAGCTTGTGGTTCTCTCATGTACAAACAGTGTTGGCTCCAGCAGCTTTGCCACACCTTGGAAGGTTCTGGAAAGTGAATCCTGCATCAAGGCTTGAAAATCTGCTTCCTCCTTTGTTTGGGATGTCCTTTCAAAGAGCTAGCTCATTAATCATTTATGTTTTTAATTTTGTATCTTGCACACCCACGGGCTACATTGTCACCAGTCTGGTTACCAGGATGCCTGCCCCCCGTCCCCTCCTCTGCGCCCAGGCAAAGCCGGTCGTGAAAATGCCCAGTTGGGGTAAATTTCATGCAAACAGGAGGAATTCCATTTACTTAAAAACAGATGGGAAAATCGTTCAGGCTCAAGCAGTGTTTGCCAAGACTGCATCGACAGGATTCCAGAGAGGTTGAGCAGAATTCAGACATTCGTGGTGCCAGCTCCACCGGGGGAGACAGTCTTCGCCCAGGCGGCCAGGGTGCCGTGGATTCCACGAGGGTGCTGTCCCTTCAGCACCTCCAGCACCGTCCCCTCCGCAGGAACCTGAAAGCCCCGCCCCTTCTCTGGTCTCCAGGCAAATTACCTGGTGCCCTGCCGCATCTCCCACATCGCCGGACTGCACTGAGCAGCCGGGAACATGAAGGTTGTGTGGCCAGCACTGGCTGCTCCTGTGGGATCAAAGGCCAGCTCATCTGCCCCCAAGGTCCTCCTGTGGGTTCCCTCCCCAGCAGAAAGCTAACCCCAGGGCTGGGACCACCTGCTGCCCCGGCTCCCCCAGGCTTCACCCACCGTCCTTCTCCCTGGAGCCTGACGCAGAGAGGGGCTGGAAGCCAATGCCTCTTGAGGACACACTGAACCACATCTGGGAGAAGCCACGGGTAGCCCTGCGCGTGTGGTGCGGCCTCGGGGCCCCCAGAACCCACTCCTCAGCTCTCCTGCAGGTGCAGGACCCCAGGCACACAGGCTCAGCACGGGAACGGTGGGACCAAAAGTGAAAGACAGAGGCTAGGCCCGGTGGCTCATGCCTGTAAGCCCAGAGCTTTGGGAGGCCAAGGCGGGCAGATGGTTTGAGCCCAGGAGTTCAAGACCAGACAGGACAACATAGAAACCCTGTCTCTACAAAACTGCAAAAATTATACAAGCTTGGTGGCCTGCCTGTGGTCCTAGCTACCCAGGAGGCTGAGGTGGGAGGATCGCTTGAATCTGGACGGTCCAGGCTGCAGCCAGCCACGATGGCGCCATTGCACTCCAGCTTAGGTAACAGAGTGAGACCCTGTCCCACAGAAAAGAAAAAAAAAGAAAATTAAAACTTAGCCAGGAGCGCTAGTGCGTACCTGTTGTCTCAGCTACTCGGGAGGCTGAGGCAGGAGGGTCACTTGAGCTCAGGAGAGGAGGTTGCAGTGAGCTCTGATCACAGCCCTGCACTCCAGCCTGGGCAGCACAGCAAGACCTTGTCTCAAAAAAAAAAGAAAGAAAGAAAAATTAATTAATTAATTAATTAATTAAAAACAAAAATGAGAGCTGTGTATGGTGGCTCCCGCCTGTAATCCCAGCACGTTGGGAGATCGAGGTGGGTGGATCCTCTGAGGTTAGGAGTTTGAGGCCAGCCTGGCCAACATGGTGAAACCCCGTCTCTACTAAAAACACAAAAATTAGTCAGGCGTGGTGGCTCGCCCATAATCCCAGCTACTTGGGAGACTGAGGCAGGAGACTCACTCGAACCCGTGAGGAAGAGGCTGCGGTGAGCCGAAATTTCACCACTGCACTCCAACCTGGGCAACAAGAGCAAGACTCCGTCTCAAAAGCAAGCACACACCCCAGAGGAACCCAGCACAGGCGGTGAGTCAAGAGGCATATGGGCTGCTTCTGGCCCCTCCTGTGGGGCTGCCAGCCTCGGGCGGGGGCGGTGGAGCAGCTCAGTCCCCGAGGGTTGTGGCCCCCCTAGAACAGCGAAGATTTTATGCTCTGTTGACTGTGCCGTCATCAGTGGGACCTGTGCCCGGCGTTCCGACGGCCTCAGCACCCGTGACAACGGCTGGCACAGACGCTGGAAAGCAGGGCCTTCCGGGCCACCACCCCACCCCGTCCCTCCCTGCCCCCTGGAAACAGAGGGAGCTGCTTCCCGGTCACGGCGCCGTCAGAAAGACAGATGACCCCACAGAGGCCCAGAGGAAGCTCCATCAGCCAAGAAACAGGATTTAATTTGGGGAAATGAGGAAACGAGGAGAGACAGGTTCTCAGTCAATCTCACCTGGGCCAGAGCTACTGCGGCTTCAATCCTGTAATTTGGGCAACAGGAAATGCCTCCCCAGACCGAGAGGTCCAGCCCCCCCAGGAATTTCCATTATTAGGAGGAGGAAGGGCTCTCTTTATCCAGCGTGCGGGGGAGCAGGGGAGTAAGGAAAAGATTTAAGATAGGAAAGCATTGATTTTTTTTAACATCTTACACTGAAGTCAATAAAAATTTAATTTATAGGTTTTTTTTAAAGGACCAGGGCTCTCAACAAGCTTCCCTAGCCCCTGGCAAGCCGGCTAATTGCATGAGGGAGTTCACTTCTACTTCCCAGCCACCAATAATGCCGTCGGCTGCAGAGCCCGTGATCACCTGTGACGGCGGGAACAGGCAGGGCAGCCATGGTGGCTCCGGAGGCATCCGGAAAGGGCGGAAGTTAACCTGGAGCTCTGGGGCCTCACGGGAACTCTGCGTGATGCTCTGCCTGGAAGTCCCACATCCCCAAACCCCATGTGTTGTCATCGCTGGTCCCCGGTGTCACAGGTGGCCTCCCACACGCCCCTCCATCGCCTTCAGGCACATGGAGAAGCTGTGATGACGGTCCCATTCTGTGGCAACAGGCCCCGAATCAAGAGCAACAAAGGCCCCGCTCACTCGGGGGAGGCCCAGGCCCCACTGTGGACCTGACACCCAGACTCCTGGCACCTCGACACTACCCAAACAGCCTCGTCATCGAGGCCTCCTCGCTCCTGAGACCTGGCCCTGCCGCTTGCTCCGGGCCCGCCGGCCTCTCTGTCCCTGTCCTCCCAGCCTGGGCACATGGCCGCCCCACAGCCCTGAG